ATATTAATTTAGCTCAATTTCTTCCTTTCCTGACTTGATTGGTGGATGTTGTTGGTTTTTTTTAGCTCACGAGGGATTTTATTTCAAGGGTGTTATAAGAGCCAGAATATATTGCCGTACCCCTAAAATATATCATCCTACCCTAGAATATACTGTGGTACCCTAGAATATACTCTCGTACCCTAGAATACCCCAGAATATATCATCGTACCTAACAATAAATTCTTACACATTAGAACATATTGCTGGATCTCTACAATATACTAGCCATGTTATCATTCCAAAATATCTCACCTTCGTTGATATAAAAGACTGACTCTCTATTCTCACCGAGAATCGTAAATTTCAGATATTTTATGTCTGGGGGAGGCATGCGTCCATATTTCGTCTGTCTTTAAGGAAATGTTGGAATATGCCGCTGTGTAAGAAAGAGAGCGAGAGAGAGAGAAAGAGAGAGAGAGAGAGAGAGAGAGAGAGAGAGTAATATAATCCCTGACTCGAACGCTGAGCTGAAATTAATGGATTTTCACATAATAAATAAGTTAGACTATATCCCAGCACTCTCAGCCATAAGAGCCGGACTAAAATCCCATTGTTTAACGCATTAAGAAGTATTTTGCGCTATTTTTCAACACCCTGATCCCGAACAAAGGATTTTAATACCACGCACTGAATTCTTAAACAAAAATGACTGGGGCTGCATTCGTCCAACTCCGGTGCCACCAAGACCGAGAATTGTATAGCACTGAGATTTGAGAATGTTTATTTTTCATTCAAGATGTTAAAAGAAGGTTGTATTCACGAGGATTCATGTGACAGAAGTGTTAAATTGTCCCTGATCACTTAAGAGGAGATGGTAGTATTAATATGATCTGTTTAGCCTCGCGGGCAAAACAGTGTTCAGTGTTTTTTTATTCGCATGAGAATTCGATATATATATATTTATACTCCAGGCAATAACTGGTTCGTAGATAATGGTGTTTTGGGTTAGTTTGGGTTGGTTTGGTGATCCTGGTAAGCGAGGACTGGTGACATCCGAAGTGGTGAGCGAGTGGCGCCAAGAATCACGCAAAAATTTTCCAATATTTTCTGAGAACTATTTCCATTTCGAACATTATCAACATTGGTACGATAAATTAGCATCCAAACACATTTTTAATACACCCTGTAACTGTATCAACGTAAACAATTGAAATGACGTCGGGGGGGATGTTAAGGTGAGGTGATGTGACGTAAGGAGACGAAGGGGAGGGGAGGTCTCCGCGCGCTGGGCAGAGGAGGATAGAGGACAGTTGCACCGCCGTACCGCTATGTTAAGTAAGAGATACTAATTATATGAATTTTGATACTTTAAATTTGGTTGGAGTGTCATTAAGATAAATAAAACATTGTTACAGCATGTCAGCTATAGTATCTGGACACAAATCATGCGCTTCATGTCAACTTTGGGCTAAACCTGAGCTATGACGAAATGAGCCATTGCATGAGGGGAAATGGTGTTTATATGTTTTTGTTTTTCACGATGCAACACTGTACTGTGGACTTGTCTTAAAATCCGAGGCAAAATGTCACCACCACAACGCTTGACCCCACACCTCACTCCATTAAGCCTAGCACTATATTCTAACTTCTCTCATACGTTTCTTGACGATTTCATAACAATAAAATAAAGAGTTAGATTTATACTGTGTAGCCATGCAAGTTACTGTTCTAGCTTTACATTACTTACTGCAGGACAGGTATTATTCACTCCACGTTAGATGAATGAAAAGCGTTCATACCACATCAATTAGAATAAATATGTAAACGTTGCCGGTCCATGTAATGAGTAAAATTATATCAAGTTACTTTATGGTTAAATAAATATCTTAGTGACCAGAATAATTACTGGAGAAGACAATAGTTAGATGTAATATAACCGTCTCTAGCAAAGACAATTCTGTTTCCTTTGCTATATGAAATTTGACGTCGCCGTTATATAATTTGTTTATTGATTATTGATAATATAGGGTATTTATTTAAGCCTCTTGCCATCCTTATTTTCTTAACATCATCCTATCACCTATATTGTGGAAATATATACTAAAATTATAACGTAGTTAGCCACAAAATATAACATTTTCTTTTATGGTTGAATCGAAGAGAATGTAATCGGTATAACTCAACTAATTTTAATACCTATCCTAAAATCAAAACAAAATAGTCACGCAATATATAAAATAGATAAGACTCGACTTATCTTATTTCCTTTAACAAACCCTTAACAAAATACATGCAAACTCATAAAAACATAATTAAAAATAAAGTTTACTTCCCCATTGCTTGAGTGGTAAATATTTTCATTACAAAAGACTATTAATTTAATTTAATATATATAATCCATTATCCATCGATGCGATTCATTTACCGCATTTAAAAAAGTCAATAAGGTCGCGCTTAAATAAAATATGATAATAAAATATAATAAATAATAAAATATAGATGACATCGAATAAAAAGCTGAATTTACCGTAGTATAGGTGAAGACAAAATACCGGCTTTAATAATATAGATAAGTAAACGCCTGTTAGGATGGCGGACTTTGATGAGTTGAGAAAATTATTATTATTATTATTATTATTATTATTATTATTATTATTATTATTATTATTATTATTATTATTATTATTATTATTATTCTGTTTGGAGTGTAAGCGTAAATTTGATTCTTCCGTAGCACATAAAATGCACATCCTTCCCAACAGGTGGCGTGGGAATGCATTATTTGACAACAGGTGGGGCGGAATGCGGTTTTCAAGCTTTCTGCCTCTGTCTCTCTCTCTCTCTCGTCTAAATAAATGAGCTGGTGGTTGCATCATTTCCCAACAGTCACAATTACGAATACTTTACGCATTTTTTAATAGTTATTGTTTAGTGTACATACAGTACCTACTTAGTGAAATATCTTCGTTGTTGAAACAGAAATACATAATTATAAAACGACTCACTGTCTTGAAATGCTACTTAGCGTTACTATGTGTTAATGTTTTGTTGTGTTACGCGGTCGTGTCATTTGTTACCTGGTGTTAACATATGTTATGTGTTACCTGATGCTATTATGTGATTTTGTGGTGTTGTCCTGTGTTCAATGGTACCAACGTGTGGTGTATGGTAAACTATTGTGTTAAATGGTGCTCTCGTGTTTTAATTATCATTTTCACTTGTTGTATGTTGTTGGTGTTATCTTAAGTTATCATAAAATTTGTTGTATTTTGATGCGTTATCTGTTAACCGATTATGATATTCTACTGTGTTAAGTGATATAACCAATTGCTATGTGGTGGTATAATGTGTTAGATTGTGGTACCTGGTATTGCCAAGTGCTATCATGTGTGTTATCTAGTGTTATCGTGTTATATGTGATGTAATTATGTGAATGCAGGACCTTTGTGTGTTATATTATGTTTACTTGTTTAATTAACATTTAAAGTGTCTGATACTCTTACGTTATTATCTAATGCAGTAGAGTGGTGGAGGTGGAGTGTCTGCTAGCAGTAGAGTGGTGGAGGTGGAGTGTCTGCTAGCAGTAGAGTGGTGGAGGTGGAGTGTCTGCTAGCAGTAGAGTGGTGGAGGTGGGGTGTCTGCTAGCAGTGGGGTGGTGGAGGTGGAGTGTCTGCTAGCAGTAAGGTGGCGGAGGTGGAGTATCTGCAGAGTAGAGTGGAGGTGGAGTGTCTGCTAGCAGTGGGGTGGTGGAGGTGGAGTGTCTGCTAGCAGTGGGGTGGTGGAGGTGGAGTGTCTGCTAGCAGTAAGGTGGTGGCTGCTAGAGGTGGTGGAGTGGAGTCTGCTAGCAGTGGGGTGGTGGAGGTGGGTGTCTGCTAGCAGTGGGGTGGTGGAGGTGGAGTGTCTGCTGGCAGTGGGGTGGTGGAGGTGGGTGTCTGCTAGCAGTAAGGTGGTGGAGGTGGAGTGTCTGCTAGCAGTGGTGTGGAGGTGGAGTTTCTGCTAGCAGTAAGGTGGTGGAGGTGGAGTGTCTGCTAGCAGTAAGGTGGTGGAGGTGGAGTGTCTGCTAGCAGTAGAGTGGTGGAGGTGGGAGTGCCTGCTAGCAGTAAGGTGGTGGAGGTGGAGTGTCTGCTAGCAGTAAGGTGGTGGAGGTGGAGTGTCTGCTAGCAGTAGGTGGTGGAGGTGGGGTGCCTGCTAGCAGTAAGGTGGCGGAGGTGGAGTGTCTGCTAGCAGTGGGGTGGTGGAGGTGGAGTGTCTGCTAGCAGTGGGGTGGTGGAGGTGGAGTGTCTGCTCAGCAGTGTCTGCTAGCAGTGGTGGTGCCTGCTAGCAGTAAGGTGGCGGAGGTGGTGTCTGCTAGCAGTGGGGTGGTGGAGGTGGAGTGTCTGCTAGCAGTGGGGTGGTGAAGGTGGAGTGTCTGCTAACAGTGGGGTGGTGGGTGGGGTGCCAGCTAGCAGTAGGGTGGCGGAGGTGGAGTGCTTGCTAGCAGAAGGGTGGCGGAGGTGGGGTGCCTGCTAGTGCTTGCTAGCAGCAGCAGTAAGGTGGTGGAGGTGGAGTGTCTGCTAGCAGTGGGGTGGAGGTGGATTGTCTGCTAGCAGTAGGGTGGCGGAGGTGGGGTGTCTGCTAGAAGTAGGTTGGTGGAGGTGGGGTACCTGCTAGCAGTAGGGTGGTGGAGGTGGAGTGCTTGCTAGCAGTAGGGTGGTGGAGGTGGGGTGCCTGCTAGCAGTAGGGTGGTGGAGGTGGGGTGCCTGCTAGCAGTAGGGTGGCAGAGGTGGGGTGCCTGCTAGCAGTAGGGTGGCAGAGGTGGGGTGCCTGCTAGCAGTAGGGTGGTGGAGGTGGGGTGCCTGCTAGCAGTAGAGTGGCAGAGGTGGGGTGCCTGCTAGCAGTAGACTGGTGGAGGTGGGGTGCCTACTAGCAGCAAGGTGGTGGAGGTGGTGTGCCTGCTAGCAGTAAAATGGTAGAGGTGGAGTGCCTACTAGCAGTAGGGTGGGAGCCAGGTGGCGTGAGTGTAGTTTTGTGCGGTGCGGAGTGGGGTGCCTGCTGGTAGGGTGGCTCAGTGCCCTGCGGGACGTCACGACGATAGGAGCTACGTCACCCTCACCTCCACGGTCCTCACTGACCCGGACAGGCTGCCTGTTACACTCCCCTCCCAAGTGACTCTTCCATCATCTGTCCAAGACCTCAAAAATAATCACAACCCAATCGTAAATACTTGCAAAAATACCTGAAAATCGACGAAAAAACGAAAGGAAACGGAATACCGTTAAGAAGCAAGTCACCCAGAGAGCTGCGGTTCACATGCTTGCAGGTACCTACATCAGTGCTGTGATCACCACTGACGTTGAAAATATTACAGCACGGGAACGCGACTCCTTGTGGCTATACACGGAAACTAACCTTAGGATTACACGCGAGTGGTTTTGTGCGTGGCCAGGCCGTGTGGGCCACAGTGCAGTGTTGTGAGTACGAGAGTGAACATGGGTTTAAAAAGTCTCTGACGCGAGGCGGAGTAAAACAATGACTGAATAACGAGGCGGAGGAGTGAAATAATTGGTGCATTAATAACAAGAGTATCTATTAATTAAAGTCGGTTAATTGGTAGGAAAGTAATTGTAGAGTGTGATACATTAGTGAATTAACGAGGAGGAGGGAGCAGGACAGCTGAGTCAAGGCTACTAACTGGGTTTTAAAACTTTTACGGTAAGTGAATGTGAGTTTGTCGCCCTTTGTAGAAATTGGGGAATGTAAATAAACGAAACGCTCTGAGGCTGTTCATTGGACTTGGTTGGTTGGGTTTGATGGCCGGCAGTGGTGTGGGTCATTAGGACTGACACCCGCCACTGTATACACAACAAACCTTGATTATATCTCGCCCTTGATCACGTCTGTCCCCCTCACGGCGACCAGATTGTGATCACTAACACGTTTATATCCTCATCAACAACCAAAGTAAAACAAAGCCACAGTTTATTTCACATTTTTTTTACACTTCAATTATAATTCATTCAGGTAATTATTGTACCTGGTGAGATTATGATAATCGATACATGTAACACTCTATTTTTTAGGGGGTGAATTTACAACATCTAGTCACGCGATAGAATTTTATATATATTTTAGTTGTTATTAATATTACCATGCAATAATTATGAGGTGAATTATCAATATCTTAAGACTATAATTTAGTGTAGCTGACAAAGATGGGTATTGTGTCCCGTAGACTATTCGCAATGTTTTTTTTTTTGCTCTTTCTTTTTTCAATCACTCTTGAGGTACGATTTTGTTTTAAAAGACACCAAAGAACATCCCATTTCATTCTTATTATCATTTATTCCTATAATGATAGAAATCTTGTATTATTTTTTTCAACTATGTATTAATGTGACTCTTTAAATATTCGGGTGTGATCAAAGTTAATAACTTGTCATATATAATCTCAACCGTCCCATCATCTATAACCCAGGATCAATTGTTTGTCCCGTGCCGAGAAGTTTACCTTAAGTCTCTCATGAAGAATATTCTATCTTTGTTCTGTGTGGTGACCTTGGATGACTCAGAAGGTTAAACTTGCCTCACACGGACAGGTCAGGTCAGGGATCAACTTCCGTTTTGTAAGTGGTTTATGTCATCCTTATACCGACATCAACAGTATATGAAACTTATTATTGGATATGTATACCAACCGTATAGATAGCTTATTACATTATGGTATATAGTTTTACCTGCATGTACTGTAAGCCGTATATGTGTGTGGGTGTGTATGTGTGGGTGTGGGTATGTGTGTGGGTGTGGGTGTTTTTTCCTGTGAATGTGTGTGCGTGTGTTTATGTACCCGTCATAAATTAGACACATACACCAACATGAAGTTATTACGGGTCAAAATATAGACACTTTATAGCGTGAACTGCATCACTGACTGCCAGAACTATTTGGTTTACACAGTCACACACAGGTGGGCGCGTAGCCTAGATAATTCTATATATTATTCCTTTGTCTGTCACTCACGATAATAATAATAATAACACAAACTCATTTTTGGTCTCTGAAAATTAGTTCACAGTTAAAATTTGAGAAGGGAAATTTTAATGTGGGTTTTTAATCGATATTTTTTTGTGTTACTAAATAATGATTCGTTTTTATGTAAATATCTCTTTTAAAACCTGTTATACCTTAAGAAATTTGATGTTTTTTTATATATCTTTATATGTGTATATCATGCACAGGTGTATATCTGAAACTATTAGTAATGTTAATATTCCTGTTTTTATTATTGTTATCGTTGTTGTTGTTATTGTGGTGGTTGTTGTTGTTGCAATAAGGGGGGCGTCTCCCTAAGAGTTTTTCGTTGGGTCCCTCAACCAGTTTAATATCTGACGGTTTATTTATTCTCTTGATTTATTTTAAGACGATAAAGTTATTCCTGACTCTTATTTTTCTCAAGGGTAAAGTCATTTTCTGCTGTTGGGTTAAACTTTACAAAATCCCCCAAGGTTGTTAAGTTAAAACACAATAAATTCTATAACATACATACATACATACATACATACATACATACATACATACATACATACATACGCATGATTATTTTATTGTTGACAAGAGCGGCCCGTACAGTACACGTTTTTAGAGGCTCGGCTGACATAGGTTACGGTTGTGACGTCACACACACAGTAATGACGCCAGACCCCGGAACCCAGAACTCAGTTGTCTGTTTTGTTGACTATTCTATAAATGTTCTCCATGGAACAGATATATGAGTAGAGGCTTTGGATTAACATTAAACTCCTATGTTATATTTACTTTACATTTTGGTTAATTGTACAACGGTGTTTTGGTTTTGTTTTTTCTCGCGAGTATATTAGCTAAGCACTTTATCCCGTCTCTTTAGAGTGACCGAAAACGGATAGTGTTTGTATTGTGTTGTGTGAGAGATCTTAAGACAACAGTAATAAGAATATGACTTATATATGCCGAGTGGTGTTGGGGCTTTTAGATAATCGTGACAATTCATTCGCGAGATGGTGCTGGTAGTGCTAACGTCAGGTCCTCTTTGTTACCCCTTTTTGAATGAGTATATATGGGTACCAGGCGATGGGTAAGAGGTTTAGACAGTTGTTGTAATTTTCCTGTGAGGGTTAGTGCGGATTCAAGGCGTCTGAGGGATTTTTTCAGCCTACCAAAGTAAAGTGTTGATGTTAGTTTATAAGGACGTAAAGAGTTGGAGGAAGGTTTTAGTCCTCCGTTGAGTGAGGGTTCATTAATTAAGTCCCCCCCAGCCTGCAGCCAATTCACTTGTTTGGCACACCAACCCAAAATAAGCTGAGCTATTCCCTGTTTTTCATTTATCTATCTGCTACTTCCTTTTCTTTCTTCCATCTTTCTTTGTCTGTTTCCTCTTGCAAACTTCCACGTTCCCCCACTGTTTATACTTACTGAGGCAACGCACATTCTTCTAACACATTTCTTAGTGGAAACAAGTGGCAACTCCTTCGCTTATTTAAATGCCAAAACAACATGCATATTTCTCCAGTAAATGTTGGAAATATTGTTCTTGAACACTCCCAGGCGTACAGACGACCAGTAGTGGAATGTTTAGAGTTATTCTTGCGTGGGAGATATTTTGTGGGGATATCTCGGTGTAGTGTAGAGTCCGTGTGTAAATATTGTTGTTAGGTTTTATGCAACTCACACACGTCTCACAGACTTATGTCCAATTGTAATATGATTGCTTTCTGTTGGAGTTTATTCATACTTCCCTCTACTGTAGCTTTCCTGTATGGTACTGTATTATATAGACCATGTATTTATTGTTTCATATTTATTCTGTACTTTTTTATAATATAATGAAATGTTAGCAAGCTCTACACTGCCTTAAACGCAGGTCAGGGATGAGAATAAAACTGAATATTTAAACTGAAACTGAAGTCTTTAATGTCAGAAAAGTATAGAGGATAAATAGGTTTTTCCTCCTAAATAAGCGGGATATTAAGATACATTGACACTCAAAACATGAAGTAAAAACATAATAATCAGGCATAGGTAAGCTGGATTATACATCATGAGCCAATAAATTCCATTTCTATCAGGCCCATCAAACCAAGTCTAATCCAACCATCAAGATTAGAGCCTCGTACTAATGGAAACCACTCCTAATTGGCCCTAGCCCTCAAGGTTCCTAATCCTAATGATCACAACTAATTAAGTTAGGTCCTATTACAATTGAGGCTCATTTGATCTATTACCCTATGGACCAGTTACTATAATATAGTATGATAGTTATACTCCCCATATGGTTTATAGTCAAGGCTACTTCCCTCAGCACTTCTGTCCAACGTATTTGTAATTACCACACGCCGTCATGAGAGTAGCGAGTGGATGCTATAATTAAGGACAATGAATGTCTTAACTCGTAAGATTAATTTAAAGAGTTGCTGGTCTATCACGACGAAGATCTAGCACTGATTAAGTTACGAGTGGAGTGGAGGGTAGGAGTGGAGTGGAGGGTAGGAGGGGAAGTGGAGGGGAGAAGAGGAAGTGGAGGGTAGGAGGAAAGAGTGGAGGATTGAAGGCAGATGGAAGGGAAGGAAGGAGAGTGGAGAATAGTAGGGGAAGGGGAGGAGAGAGAGAGGAGGGATAATAGAGGGTAGGAAGGAGAATGTAATGGAGGAGAAGAAGGACAGGGAAGTGGGAGGAAGGAGAGAAGAGGGAAGGGAGGGAGGGAGAGAGACAGAGAGAGGGGGAAGAACGCCCCACACAATCACGGTGTGAATTCTCATGCTCACAATGGTCTGTTTCCTGTTTCACTGCCCCCGCCCTTGTTAGAATCAGTAATGCGAAGCTGAACGATGTCTTTTTTTTTACTGAAGCCAACGAGTCACGCACCTGTTGACAAGACTCGCTTCCTAGTTACTAAATAAAAAGTAGATTTATTTTTACTTGCAAGTGTCAATACAACTCTGAACAAACATACTGTACCCTTCAGTTTATTTTCTTTATCTATATACGCCTTATCAGGGCTTGATAATATACATCTGTCCACGTGTTTATATATCTATATCTATATCTGTCTAACCTTTGATCATATCTATATCATTTTATTCACAGGTAAGCACAGGCGCATTTAACCTCAATAGACTGAAATAAATCCATTTATCTTTAGCACACGTCTAATAAAACACCTTTAATCTGGGCTTTCTTTTCTTTGTGGTCGGGATGAATCATAATTATTCCCTTTGTTCACTGAGTCCATTCATCGCTGAGTGTCTCCTCCATCCCTCACCATCCACTCTCTCACTGCTATGTGTTATTCAGAGCTTATTGTATCACATCAGTCACCTGGGCATATTAATCTACTTGCTTATTATCAGAGTGTTTTCAAGTCTCACTCATATATTAATGAGATGGTTTGATTAGGTTCGGTTGGGTTAGGTTTGGTTTGGTTAACGGTACTAACTTCATCACCTTTAGATATATACCCGTAGATATTAATTATGGCATCAGGTGTTAATAAAGTGATGGATAAGGTCAAGGCGGATGATGAAGGTCACAGAGGACGGGTAAGGTCACAATATAGTTTCAAAGTCACATCAAAAGGTCAAGGTTGTAGATGGAGGACATAAGGGCGTCACTATATAACACAAAGGTCAGGTCTGTGCTGTGCAAATTCACGTGTTTACTCGTAAGAATCTTTAACTAGACCC